TTTATCTGTTGAACATTTTTTTTTTTTCAGGTACCGGGGATCAAACTCAGGACTTTGCACTTACAAGGCAGGCATGGTGCCACTGAGCTAAATCCCTGGCCCCTGAACATAATTTGGAATAGGCTTTGTGTGTGATAATTATGAAGATAGATAGATAAGTAGAATATATATAGTCAATGATGACTAAAAATAAGATTTCTTAAGATATTTAGAAGGACTCAATGACTAATATAGAGGATTAATGTGATCTGAAAGACTTTGTGGAACAGATAAAGTTGGTTTTTGAAATTTGTATAGAATTTGACTACTCTCAGGTAGAGGAGTGCAAATGGCTCATGCAGGGCAAAGGCAAATACAAGGCTGAAGGAGAAAATATCCATGTGGCATTTTCAGATGCGAGTGACTCCACCTGTTGAGAGTTCGCTTTGAGAAACAGTGAGAGATAAAGTTCTGAAAAGTGACTCTTGGGAGCTAGATTAGGGTAACCTGAATGCTTGAGAATCCTATAAAGGGGAAAGCTATGATTTCTTTTGATTAGGAAGAAATATATAATCTTGAAGGGAGAAGAGATCTATAAGAGATATTTAAAAATTGTTTGAATTATTCTGGAGGGAGGGAGGTGAAGAGAATCTTTAACTTAGTGGTAATGAGAAAAGAAAAAAGTAATTTTAGAGCTCAAAGGAGCTTAGATATTAACCCATGGCATACCTTATTTTTAGCTATCAGGGAGCTGTTTACAAATTCTGATTTATTCCTTTTCACAAGAATACAATAGGTATTTTATCTTATTTTAATTGCACTCTGGGCATTGTACTTAGGACCTTCAAGATAAGCTACATCCTTAGCCTTTGTTTTATTTATTTATTTATTTTTATTTATTTTAACACAAGCTTTCACTAAGTCACTGAGCTGACCAGGCTGTGTTTGATCTTTCAACCCTTCTGTCTTAATTGCTTCTTTTTGTTAAATATCCAACAGCATTTAATAAAGCTTTGTTCCAAGAATTTAATGGCATTATTGGAAGCTGAGATCCTATTTTCCAAAATGTGATAGTCATATCTTTAACAAGCTTATTTTGTGTACTTAATGCCTTTGACAGTAGAGTCTAGGCCAGCTATAAACCTAGTTGTGTGATTGTTGTAGCTGCTTAGGGGTATTCTGAGTATACATCATATTTTTTCTTCTTGGGTGAGTATTTTACTTTTTCTTTTTCTTTTTATTGAGTTTATTGGTACAATCTAGGTATACAATACAGTTACATTCATCATTGGGATTCTGTACCTTTACATAATAGGTCTTGATTCTCATTTTTTCCCCTAGTCCCTGCCCTCCCTTCACCCCCTCCTGCCCTCCCCATTTACAAACACTTTATTTCCATTTTTTCAGTTTCTCATATTTTTTTCCTCTCCCTTATTACCTTTCCCCCACCCTTCTCACTTTCCCTACACCTTTAGCCCTTTACTTCCTATTTCACATTATTAATTATCTCATTAGGATCCTGTGTACTTTTATAGTTTTTCACACCAAAGAAACTATTCAGTATTTCAGTTAAAGAAATCTCTGTATGAACATTAAAAATAGGGAATCCTAAAATAAAACTAAAAAAGAAAGTAAAAGAGAAAAGGCAATGATGTAACATTAAAATTATCCTTAATTCTGGAGATGAAAATGTTCCCTGAACATATTTAAATTGCTTCTTGCTCTTATAGTCTTATTCTTTTGTTTTCATTATTTAGAGAATATTTGATTAGTTTCTGTAATTAAACCCATGTAGATATGATTTTACATATTTAGTACGATGTGTTACCCCTGTATACATGGAAAAAAAAAATAAAAATAAAAAAAATTAACATTTCTAGACCAATATGGCTGACCATTTCTGTACAATGCCAACTCAACACAGTAAATTCGGGTGAGTTTTTGCAAAATTGGTAGCACCGTTAAAGTTTCCCAAAATT